CTCAGAAGTAAAGATGGGCAGAGGTTCACCAGTCTGTAAAAAACAGTCTAAAAATAGTGGAAGAATTTCAGACTAATGTTCCTAAATGGAAATTTAGGAAGACCTTGAATGTTCGTTATCTCCAGTTCATAATCTCATCAAAAGATTTGAAGAATCTGTAGAAGTCTCTGAGCTCAAAGGCCAAGGCTGAAAGTCAATACTGGATGGTCGTGATCTTTGGGCCCTCAGGGGCCATTGCATTAAAACAAGGTCCGGTTCTGTTGTGGGCACAGGAACATTTCCACAGATCATTGTCTTGATACAGCACTCTGGGAACAGCCTATTCGTTCAGCAATTTCTTTCTGTGTCTTACCCTCTTGCTTGAGGGTGTCAATGATGGCCTTCTGGACAGCAGTCAGGTTGGCAGTCTTACCCATGATTGCGGTTTTGAGTAATGAACAAGGCTGAGAGTTTTTAAAAGCCTCAGGAATCTTTTGCAGGTGTTTAGAGTTACGTTGTTGATTCAGATGGTTAGGTTAATAGCTTGTTTAGAGAACCTTTTCATGGTATGCTAATTATTTCAAGTAGGTATCTCTGCAGGCAAATTCAGAAGGCGTATCTGGGCGATCATATCTGATTGGACTATATGAAAATGGGCGTGTCTGGCCGGCTGCATCTGATTGAACGATAGAAAAATGGGCGTGTCTGGTCAGCCACATTTGATTGGACGATAGAAAAATGGGCGTGTCTGGCCGGCAACATCTGATTGGACGATAGAAAAAAAGGCTGAACGATAAAATGCCGTAACCACAGACACATTATGTCTAAAAACAAGGCGTTATAGGCAGATTGTGTTAACCACAGGCATATTATGTATATGGTGTTAACCGGTTCGACATTAGCGGCATCTCAGGTTCAACACTGGTGGCATCTTGGTTCGACATTGCTCCAGTATACTGCCGCGGCGTCTCCATAACTTCTTTTTCCGCCTCTCTTAACACAGAACTTCCGGTTACATTTCAAAATAAGAGCAACATAACTGTGTAGTGGGGAGAGCTAAATGTTAGGGTTTTTTAATACCTAGCCGTAACATTAAAAAACAAATTCCATTTTGGTTGTTAAAAAATGTGAACAAAGTTACAATCGATTCATAAAGAAAGAAAAATATTAATGATACTTAAACTGGCCTTGGGACAAAGGATGTTTCCTTTAACTTCACATTTTCTTGTTCAACCTGCAGTCACTACAGATGAGTGATTTGTCAGTTTCTGTAAGATTTCTGCAACTGGAGCAGGTATTTCTGTTTACTGGTTAACTTCCTCAGCTGTCTCACATTTTAAAGGTCAACCCTACTTCATGTTTCAGTAGAAAACAAGCACATTTAAGAGTCAGTACATAACCAGACTTTTGGCCCTCACACCTATACCCAGTTGCTCATGCTGCATGATGAGATCAGATTTATCCATATTTTAGAAATTACATTTAGCTTAGTGGACAAAACAATACAAATGAAGACTGTCTGTCTTAAAAAAAAACTCTTGGTTTTGCAGTAAGCAGCCTGATTTCAAACTGACATCTTGGCCAAAGGTAAAATAAAAATCTTTGTGTTCTCAGAGAAGTTGTTTCAGGACCTCCAATAAATTTATGTACACATCAAAGCACACAAGACAGATTCAGGAATTCTCTTTGTTTTCCAGATTTCACATTTGTTATTACCTTAAAACATACTCAGACAACATTTGATGCATCAATGAATTTTTTTATTGTGTTTATTGGGACATCCATTTTTAGAAGTCATCGTAGCATCTGTTGGAAACACAAAACATAGTACAGTTAGGGTGTTGCTAGTTGTTACTTATTGTAATGTGTGGGTATCACAGTACAAAAGCTGGACTACTAACCCTGCATCCATGGCACAGAAGTGGGTGCAGTACCCAGGAGTAATGGCTTCACTGTAGAAGGCCCTCGCTCTCCTCTTTTGACACTGCCCCAGAAACCTGCACAGTCTTTAAATTCTTCTCCACAGCTGAAGCAGACAGAAATTACATAAGACTTTCTGTGCTCAGCCTGAAATTCTTCAGAATATTTCCTCCAGTTCACAACACCTGAAGTTGTAATAAAAATATGATTAGATCACCAAGCACAACATTTTTACAAAATAGCAGTTCTACACGGCCTGGGCTGTTTTCCTTCCCCAATCTATTCAAAATGAACACCAAAAGTTAATTTTGATATTTTTTTCACAAGGAAAAAAAAGTTGATTTCCTAAAGTTTAACAATAAATGAAGGAATTTGTACATTCAGGTAATTGAAAATTAAGTAATTTCTCTAACATCCAACCCATTTTAGCCACTGAGCCATACCAAACACCCATAATCTATTCTTGAATGAGTTGTTGACTATTATTGACAAATTACAGACTTATTATTGAATAAGTTATTACTCGTTATTGAATCATTGACAAATTACACTCATGTTCGTGTTAACTCATGTTGCAACAAGGTCAGCAACTTTTGACTATTACTATGAACTATGTTAAACTTTGGAGGGGATTTATTTTGAAAGTCAACATCAGATGTTGGTCAAAGTTTTTGAGCAACATCTTGGGGTCTTCTAGAGTCAACCTGAAGTGAGAGTGGTTCCTGACATGGCAGAAAGACATAGATATAATTAACAGCTTTTATTTATTTATTTTTCAGCTAATAACAACTTTTATTTATTTGTTTTTCATATTTTTCAGTTATACACAGCTTTTAAATATTTATTTTTCAAGTATTAAGAACTTTTATTTTCAGCTTTTATTTTGAAAAGCAACACACAGTTGTTGTAAACGTGCATGTGTAAGCCAGTAAGGGCTGCCGGAGCCGAGTGGAGGCTCACTTTACCTCAGTGCATTACGTGCATGGGAATTCCCCACCATGTTTTCACATGAGCTAAACTTCTAAAGCACGACAACAACGAGAGAACGGTCGAAACTATCGTGACTTACAATAAACGTACTTCAATAATATGCATAAGTGAAAACATAACATACTTTATAAGTACAATAAATCATATTTCTTTGTCAAACATCGCAAAGAAACGTTACCTCATCAATAATCCTTGTGACTTTGAGGGTTACCCATAGCCAATCAGTGTTTGCCACCCACAAACGCCTATTCGCCAGAAACGCCCACTTTTGGTCTGCAGAGAACCCCTTCTCAATTATTTGGGACAGGCATTTTGCGTTTTCATGAGCTGTATGCCAAAATCATCAGTATTAAAACAATTAAAGACCTGAAATATTTCAGTTGGTGTGCAATGAATCTGAAATATATGAAAGTTTAATTTTTATCATTACATTATGGAAAATAATGACCTTTATCACAATATGCAAATTTTTTGAGAAGGACCTGTATATATATATATATATATATATATATATATATATATATATATATATACACACACACTTTGTATAATACTTCATACTACTATTCCTAATTGGCGGTTTTTCACTTAATGCAGGGCTTCAGGGTACAGATCGCCCACGATAAACTAGGGACTACTGTAACTGAAAGCTCTGTTTCCCGTTCTGCTTTTGGAAACTCTAGAAACCACAAGTAAACCTGTAGTCTGAGAGTGAAGTGCTCTGTTAGGAAAATATGGAACAATAAGATTTGATAAACTACCGTATATGCAGGTTTGAGAACAACATATGCTCCCATCCAGACAACGTCTTTTTACAGGGAATGCCTTGTACATGTGAACAGACTCAGACTGCATCCCTTACAGCAGGATGGCTATGTAGTGAAAGAGTCCAGGTGCTGAACTGACAACCTACAGTGCAGACTTCTCACTAATCCAAAACATTTGGTGCATCAATTCAATTCAATTCAATTTATTTATATAGCGCCAAATCACAACAAAGTTGTCTCAGGGCACTTTACAGGAACATTCACATAAAAGTACAATATTGCTAAAAATTCACATACAATATTGCTAAACATCTGGCTGGTATTTTAGCTCCTCTTGT